AAGGAAATGAGTTCTACAATGCTTGCTTAACTGACACGTTTGACAAGAGAAATCAGAAACAGACACTGACTTACACAGTTCTGGAAAAACAACTTTCAAGTATTCAAAAGACAAATAACCCAGGCGACAATGCCACAAATACATTTTACTCTTTCTGAATTGACTCATAGACTCTATAACATGAAGGCCAGTCATATTCTCCAGCATATAGAGTCCATCAACCATACGTCCCCTACCAATCGTCCTCCCTGAGGCCAGATCCTAAATCACACAATAGGAAGGGAAAAATGTCACAGAACAGTTTAAGGAATTTGTAACACTACTGACTGAGAACAAATTCATAGGAAATTTTGGAACATGAAGAACATTAGAAAGTGTAAGGCTGAGAGGAAGAGAGAGAGTTCCCTGACCAGCTACGAAAGTGTATGATCCATTAGCTAGTCTCACTTTATCTCTTTCGGAAAGAGGGTGATAAGTTTGAAAGTAAGAGGACATACCAGTCATGTGTTTTGATGCTCCAAAATCAATGATCCATGGAGAGTCAAGGTTGTGAGAAGCAACATGGAAAGTTGTGGCAGGATTACCTGACGTGGATGCAAATGAGGTTGTGGGAGGAGCATCCATCTGGCGAATTGTTCTACCATAAAGCTCTAGATGGTCACGGAAGGAGTTTACAATATCCTCCCTTGGGTCTAATCCAGAGTAGCTATGTTGGCCATGTGGTGTTTGAGTCATAGTAGAAGTGGAGGGCTGATTCTCCCGAGTAACCATGTTGGCCATGTGGTGTTTCTTGGTACCTTGTTGCYCRRGCCTTTTAATTACATCTGAGCCTTGCTTCTTAGGCAGATCTTGAGCCCATTTTGGTTTCCCATGAAGATCCCAACAAGTATCTTTGGTGTGCCGGGGCTTCTGACAGTTAGTGCACCACAATTTCTCCTTATCTTATGTTTTCTTATGGAGATCCCCTCTCCTGGAAGATCCACCACTAATAGAGGCACCCCCTTTTGCCGCCAACACAATTACATCCCCTCCGGTGCTATTCATCAAGTTTCTCCTGCTCTCTTCAGACTGGACAAGAGCATAGACCTCCTGAATTGATGGAAGATCCTTAGAACTGAGAATTTGTACTTTAATGGATTCATAGATAGGATTGAGACCATGTAAAAAGGCAAACACTCTTTGCTGTAAGACGAGTTTCTTATACAATTTGGCATCTTCATCACACTTCCAATCAATATTCTGGTAATGGTCCAACTCCTTCCAAACAGAGGTCAAGTCAGAGTAATAAACTAATAAACTTCTCTCCCCCTATTGACAAGTAGATGATGCTGGTTGCAGTTGATAGATCTTGGCATAGTGTCATAGTTTTGAATATGTGGATTTTGCCTGTTCCCAGATCTCATTTGCAGTTTCAGCTCACATGAAATCCTTCCTTATTTGTGGTTGCGTTGAGATCAAGAGCCACGACATAACCATACTATTTTCCTGATCCCATCTATCATGTTCAGCATTTCCAGAAGGTGATTCTTTGATTCTTCCATTTATATAGCCTATTTTTCCTCTTGCAGTTATGTATAACTTGATCCCTCTTGACCACTCTAGGTAATTTAACCCATCAAGAGGAACAACAGCCATAGGGAAGGATAGGTCATTGCCCCCACTCATTCCACTCAGCATTGTGGAGATTCCGGATGTGGTTGAATCTTCACTATTCATGATTCCAGGTTTAGGAGTACACAAAACCCAAGGCACACTGCCTTACAGAGCTGCTACAGTCCACAACTAGGCACTTGCTGATTTTCGGTTCACAGAGAACCAAGCACAAACATTGCAGCTGCAGTACTAGTTTGTATGACCTACAGTTTGTAGGAGTCCACAAAACAACATACGAACACTGCACTTGCAGTGTAACCAAGTCTGAATGACCTACAGTTTTACAACTTTCATGCAACTTCTCAGTAGGAACAGAAATACAAAGTGGTAGTTCACCACACACCTAATCGGCTGAGACCAATTTCAAGGCAGCCGAACAATCACTGAGTAACTATAGTCTTCTACAGTCTTCTCTGCAAACCAGAACCCTTCTTCATACATCAGGTGATAGTTTTCTACAGTCTTCTCAGCCGAGCAACTACAGATACTAGCACCTGGGCTGGAGGATGAAAAAAAAAAACTTCGTAGCAGAACCCTTTTCTGCGCTTGGAAGTTGAACAGTCAAGCTGATTCTACTCGGCATTGGAGACTAACCACAGCACTGGAGAATGATTTCTCTTCTTTGCCTTCGAACATTAGGAATATAGTGACCTCAGCTGGTTGTTTTCTAGGCCTGGATGGTTCCGCTCTGATACCATGTTGAGTAAGAGAAAGAAGAGGAAGAGAAGAAAAAAGAAGAGAGAAGAGGCTGGCGGACTTAATGCCTCAAAAGAACTTGCTTCATGCGAGTGAAGCATTTGTATTTATACTATACTGGTCGTACAACACAAGTGGTATAGAAATTACAAAAATACCCTTGCGGGCACTAAATTTGTGTACAGTACATACAATAACATCTATCAACCAAGGTCAAATTCTTGGAACATCTCTAGTTTGGGGAATTCTTGATGAAAGGTGTATTTCCTCGTCTTTACACCAAATCTAATCCTAAGTAGAAAACAATCCTAGGTTTGCTCTAGCTATTCATCCCTTGGATTTGATTGGAAGTTGGGTTTTAGAAGAAATACGAGAGCGTTTGAATGTGTTCCTATTTAAGAGGATCTAGAAGAGTAACTCCATCTATCACATGCAAAAGGCTAGAACAAAGAGCAATTTCAGAGTTGAAAAGGTTTTCTTCACTAGCCCAAAGTTTCAGCTAAAGACGAATCATACATGGGGATAAATATCTCAGAAATAGTTTTGCATTGAAAAGAAGGAATGATGAAAATGGGGTGGAAATGAACTTTCAATGAAGATTCCTCACCCAAGGGCCTTCCCATGATTTGATTTTATTACCAAAGTCGAGGTCTTACTTTTAGTGTTTGAGGAATAGTGGGCGGATACAATGGATGTTTGTCAAAGGAAAGTCAAGAGTAGTTCTGTGTGGTAGTCCATCATTCCAACCTTTATTTCTTAGCTCATGCATACTTACCACAACCCAGTGGCATAAAGTTTTGGCGTCTCTGTGGGATATCGAAAATCATAGGCATAAAGTTGTTGTGAGCACTCATGGGCTCTTAGAGAATGGTTGGGATGCTGGATTTATGTGCATAGATACATTTACTTCTCCTTGGAGGGCAATTCCTAGTACTCTTCCCCTATTTCCTTATCTCATCATGTATAGTCTCTCGTATGGAAACAAGGTCAAATTCTTGGAACATCTCTAGTTTGGGGAATCCTTGTTGAAAGATGT